CAGCATCCGGTTTTCGGGTGTTCACCTGTGGCACGGACAAGGGTGGTACGCATGGCGTCGGAATCGCTGTGGAGGAGGCGCTGTGCAAGGCCTCCCAGTACACCACGGAGTACGTTGACGAGCGCCTCATGGCTATGAGGTTTGAGATGACGGGAACCGCGGAGCGGTGAACTTCGTTGATGCGTATGCCCCAACAGACGTCGCCACCGCCGACAGTAAACGCATGTTCTGGGAAAAACTTGACAGTCTCGTGCGGCGTATCCCCGCTAAGGAGTGTCTTTTCGTGCTCATGGATGCCAATGCCCAGACCGGAGGAGGGATAGCCGGGGAAAACGAAGGAACCATGGGCGAGTACGGGCGCAATGAGCTGAACGACAACGGTCGGCTGCTGCTGACCTTCGCCACAGACAACAGACTAGCGGTCCTCAACACCTTCTTCGACACACGGAGGAGCGGGATATGGCATACGTTCAACGGCCCGTCGGGACGCGAACGTAGATGCCTCGATTACATCCTGACGCGCTAATCACACCGCGGCCGAGTGTCCAACATGCAGGGCGTACCTCAGCCAGTGCGCCCAGTCAGAGCGGACTCAGACCACAACATCGTAGTAGCCACCGTCGACCTCGGTGGCCGGCTGGCCCACAACCGACCTATCCGGACAAACCCCAAACGGCGGCAGTTCAACCGACAGGATCTGCAGGTCGAGGCAGCGCGATGGGCGGTGTCCCAACGGTTTCTCTGCAACTTGCTCGCGAGGTCGGGCGCGCCGGCGACCACCGCTCAGGAAATGGCGAAGGAGTTCACGGAGGCCCTGCTTGGCGCGGCGGAGACGGAGCTGTCTGAGGAACCCCGGAGGCGGCGCACCCCGGAATGGAACATGACCGCCGCGGCACGGGCAGCCCTGGCGACCGCCCTTGACAAGCGACGGGCGGCGCGGCATGCCTTCAAGGCCAGACCGAACGCAGCAACGTGGAGGATCCTCAAAGCAGCGTGCAAGGGGGTGAAGGCAACAATCGCAACGAGCGTCTACGACCACCTGGAAGGGTACGTGACGGAGCTCGAAGCGATTTACCAGGACCGCGACATGCGGGGGCTATACCAACACCTCAAGCGATCAACGGGCCTCAGCGGGAGACAACTGAGATTCTTCGATACCCTCCTGAACTCCAAGTCCCCCACCCTGAACCCAGACGTTGTCGAACAGGTGACGCAGCGACCAGCGACGCGCGCCACCCGACGCCTGGCGGCGGTACCAGACCTCGAGGAGGTTGAGGTGGCAACGAAAGGTTTGGGGAACTGGAAGGCGGTTGGCCCCGACCTCCTTGCCGCCGAACTGCTCAAGGTCGACGGCGACGACGAGCCCATTGTCCTGGAGCGCCTCCGTGCCATCTTCGTCGAAGTGTGGAATGGGGGAGAGATGCCGCAGGAGTGGAAGGATGCCATCATTAAGGTGTTGTACAAGAAGGGTGACCGGTCGAACTGAAACAACTTCAGGGGCATCTCGCTGCCCTCGCATGTAGGCAAAATACTCGCCAAGACCATCACCAACCGCCTGAGTGCATTCTGCGAAGCCAACGAAATCCTCCCGGAGGAACAGTGCGGGTTCCGGCCTGGCCGATCCACGGTATGCATGCTGTTCATTGTGCGCCGACTCCAGGAGCTGGGGCGGAGGAGGGGAATCCCGCGCTACATGTGCTTCATCGATCTGCAGAAGGCCTACGACTCGGTGGACCGGGAGCTGCTGTGGAAGGTGCTGGCCCGGGCCGG